CTACCATTAGCCAACTCGTAAATCATCACCTTTCTATCCCAATTGAATTGAGGTTGTGCAACCTCGAGGTAGTACATGCCTAGCAACATGTCGAATGGCAGCTCGTCACTGACTAGGAATGAGATTTTATGTCTCAATTCCCCTCCTTCATAGGAGAAGGTGCAGACTACGTCCTAGACAGAGTCTTGTACAACCATGCGATGCTTGTTGGTTAGCGTAGATGCTACAAATTTGCTAAGCCTTTGCACTTGGTCCCCTAAGCACAGTCTGTCCACACGAGCACGACCGATGAAGTTTCGTGTATAGCCTATGTCTGCGAAGGCGCCCACTTTGTGGCCACCTACATCAACCTCTACCACGAGGTGTTCACCCCTAGGACCTTTACTAATCATCGCCAAGAGCCTCGGGGGTCTTTTTCTGACCACTCACACTGTAACTCTTCTAGGGAATCAGACACATCTCTCAAACAGAGCATCGGTGGGTTTGAATGTGTCTTCGGGGCGATGGATGGGTCACTAGCCTTGGCCAACGCCCGAAGTGGTGAATGCAACGTTCCCACTTCAGCACGAGTAAGAGCGGCTAACACTCCCCCTGGCCCGAGGTGTTTCCCTGCAAAGTGCTCGTAGAAGCACTGCCACGGATCGAAATAAGACAATTACTCCTAGCAACTCGATCCCTCCACACCTCGCAATCTAAACCAAGTTTTACCCATGCGGGTGTTCCTTGGTCGTCATGGCCCTCGGACCGGCCTACGTTCGGCTTCCCGGTCCCCCTAGTCTTTTTCTTGATGGGCGCTACGACTCCCCTGTCCAAAGTCTCATTAGCCCCATCCTGCTCTTTGTCTTCCCCATAGTCAGGGAAGTTGTCAACCTCTGTCGCCTGATCATCATGATCGTCGAACATGAGATTGCCCTTCTTCCTCTAGTCTTGGGGGAGTTTATTCTTCCTACCATCTCCCGAACCCTGATAAGCAGTCCCAAGCTTAGCCTCTATGTCTAAGGCTTTCTTGCTGAAGGTTGCGAAGCTATGTACGTCGATGTTGGCCTCATCGACCAACTTATTTTTGACATCTGTAGGCAGACATCTCAAATAATCTGTGAGTACCTGCGGGTCATGCGAAGCTATGTACGTCGATGTTGGCCTCATCAACCAGCTTATTTTTGACATCTGTAGGCAGACATCTCAAATAATTTGTGAGTACCTGCGGGTCATAGCGCACACCAGGTACTACAATCAGACGTTCTACGGCGTCTGTGACTTCATGCACAGTCCTGTACCGTTTGGAACAGAGACTGATTATCGCATCAGTGGCCTTTTGAGCCCCTTGTGGGTCATCCCACCTATTGTACACAGTCCGTACGAAGTCCTCTAATGACTGGGCCTGGGCCCAGACATCAAAGTTTTGACCATCGAGCTGCAAATCCTTCTAAAAAGAAAGCAGTGACTATAACTTCTTACTCTGGCCCTGTGAGCTTGTGCCTCACGTAAGTGGGCACAGTCCTTGTCGCCAGAAAGAGGTTTACGACTCAGCAAAGGAATCTTGGGCATCCACTGCATAGGCTGGATTGGCCAAGGAGATTGTTGCAGTGGCTGCATAGCCACTGAGACAGGTTGTTGCACGCTACCCTGAGCTTGCCCCGACGATGGGACTGTAGCTGCCACCGTCGTTGATGGCACAAAAGAAGTTCTAGGGACCAGACCACTAACAACTACTAAACCACCTGAAGGAGGCATGCCAAACATAGGAGAAAGGACGGCCCTGCCGGCGACGGCGTCACTAGGGACCCACAACTGAAGGGGGAGCTACAGCGTACTGAGGCTGCCTCATCATTGGACGAGGAGCCTACATTGCAGCCAGAATCCGGTTCTGGACAGCCACTAGTTCAACCAACATTTCTTGCTGCACAACCTGCGTTTTTGCCACGTAGAAAAACTGCCTATCTTTTCTTTTAAAGAAGCGAACTACGCAGCGCTTGCAACGCAGGATCAAGTGTCGACTCATGTAGTGCCTCTAATCTACTTAGCTCTTGCCTCCTGCTCCCTAGTCTAGTGTTTCTCAATATCGCTTTCTGTATCCTCTCTGCTGCCTCTCTCAATTGCCACTGCAGCTCGTCATGAAGTTCTTCTGCTTGGCGGATCTCATAATCCTCCGGTGTGAGTTGAGTTTGCTGGCTAACTTGCGAGCCAACAGTAACTGGACCCTGAGAGATACCCTGACTAACCCCTGACAAAGTGGCCTGGGACGAGGCTTGTGACATGGAGGTGGTAGCCATTGCGGTCTCTAAGCTAGCTGCTGCTGACCTGGTCCTCCTTAATGCCCCCCTCTCCTTGGCTTCCCTCCGCAGCCTCCTTTCCTCTCCTAGTCCCAACTCCGGGAAAGTAATCGGTCGACTGAGAGCAGTTCTACGGGTAAGTCGAAGAGGTTCCACTAATCGTTCCTCCTCCTCACTACTGCCTGGATCACTCATGTGCTACAGTGTGTGTGATCTAAACTAGAACCCACACTGCATCCTACCTCAGCATGACACACAACATATTAATATCTAACTCTAAGTTCGGTCAGCCTGGAGAGTAGTCAAGTGGTAACCAACAATCAATGTCAAGTCCTACAGGAAATACTTACTCTATTTTTAGATATTCTGGAACAAGTGGTCTGCAGCAAAGAATACTAACAATCTGCAGCTGTCTGTTAGTTGTCAGTCAAGCCCGTAACAACAAAATAATCAAAAATAAAATAGTGTCACCTGTAGAGATGCATGCTGGGTGGAATATTTTCCAATCAGTACCTGTGGCATACTGCGTAGCCACACGGGCCCTGCAGGGCCCGTCCCGGACATTCAGCCTAAAAGCCTAAAACTTAGGGCTTACAGGCCCTGTTCGTTTCAGCCTGGATGCTGAAAAAMGAGGGCCTGCAGGCCCTACCCCGTTTCAGCCTATTTCTGGGTCTTTTYAGACCCAGAGTTTTCAGCCTGAAACGGAGGGYCATTTTCAGGCCCTCATTGTTTCGACCTGCCCCTAAGACTCAGGCACGTAAACAGGGATGCGGAATGCGGAACAGGCCAGAAATAGTCTGTTCCTCACGAGTTGAGCAGGAGCTCCAACGCTAAATAGTAGTAGGGCTAGCTGTAGTCTTCGGCGTTGGGCGCCATAGCTGTAGCTGTAGTCTTCAGCGCTGGGCGCTGGTAGGTGGTAGATCGTGGAGTGGGAGCGAGACTGATGGAGGCCAGTGTTACTTACCTGTGGCGCCATCGCTCCAGCTCCATCTTCGTGGTACCTGCATCAAGGCGCCAACTTCACAGGTTAGTACTGGACA